GTGCTATGGGGTCTCCAGTTTCTCCTATTGTTGCCAACCTGTACATGAAGGAGGTAGAAAAGAGAGCCTTGACGTCCTTTTCAGGGACACCACCAAGTCATTGGTTCAGGTATGTTGACGACACCTGGGTTAAAATTAAATCTCAGGAAGTCCAACATTTTACTGACCACATCAACTCTGTGGATAAATACATCAAGTTCATACGAGAAGATGTAAAAAAAATGGCAGGTTGGCTTTCTTGGACTGTGAGGTCTCAGTCTCTGATAGAGGACATTTGCAAACCGAGGTGTACCGCAAACCCTCCCACACAGACCAGAATTTGCAGTTTGACTCCCATCACCCTTTGGAGCACAAGAGCAGACAGCATCCCCACTAACTCGGGAGCCAGGCAGAAGGAGAAATCCCACACAAAACAGGCTCTAGAGCTATGTGAATATCCTAACTGGGCCTTCCTGAAAGCAGAGAAGAAACCCAAACAGGACTCCAGTCAGCCATCAGGTGAAAAGGAGGAACCCAGACCCAGACCAGTGGTCATTCCGTATGTTGAGGGAGTATCAGAGAAACTGAGACGTTTATTTTCTAAACATAACGTCCCAGTGGCTTTCAAACCCCAAAATACATTACGGCAAAGACTGGTTCATCCCAAAAATCCAGTCCCCCGGCACAAACAGAGTAATATTGTGTATGCTGTTCAGTGTCAGGAGGGCTGTGATCAGTCTTACATCGGGGAAACTAAACAGCCACTGGCCAAAAGGATGGCCCAGCACAGAAGATCAACATCATCAGGCCAGGACTCTGCTGTCTACACTCATCTCCAGGCCAGCAGTCACTCTTTCAGGGATGAAGATGTGCACATCCTGGATAGAGAGGAACGATGGTTTGAGAGAGGAGTAAAGGAGGCCATCTTTGTGAAAAGAAACCGTCCATCGTTAAACAGGGGTGGAGGCCTACGTGTTCCATTGTCCCCCTCTTACAATGCTGTGATTGCTAGTATCACTCAGTCCTCTGTGAATAGTAAACAGCCATCAGTGTGCTAATGATCCATTATTAGGCTGATGGTCCTTCTTGATCATGTGAGCAGCTGATTTTGGTTGTCAGCAGCAAACTGGTTGATCCACTCTGAGAAGGTGCTATTTAAGAGACTGAGCTGAAAACAGCACCTCAGACTGAGGAAGTCTCTTGGATGAGGGACGAAACGTTTCTATATTTTTTTGCTTTGTTTTGTGTTTTGTTTATTTTGAATGTCCAGAGGACCAGATGGAACTTTTTTGGATTTACAACAATATGTGCCTCATTTACCCATTCATACAGCACTCTACTAGATCTCTTCAAAGCTAATTGAACAATTCATTTTAAATAGACTAATCAGTGCTTTAGATCACATTCATACACTGATGGGACACACATCAGAGGCAACGAGGGGTTCAGTGTCTTGCCCAGGGACACTTGGGCATGTGACTGCTGGTAGATTTTAACCCCCAACTCTTGCATCGGCGGACGACTGCTCTAATCATGGCTGCCATGAAACTGTGATAGCTGACGACCCTCGGGGCTCTGTCCCTCTCTGATCTGGAGCTCAGCGGGCCTGGCGGTCGGTCCAGATGGAGAGGTGTCTTGGCCTCAATCCCTGGGTGGACCTTGGGGAGCTGGGGGGGGGGGGGGGGCTGTTGGGTCAGTGGGGGAGCTGACTCCCTGTGGGAGCATTTGCTCTCACAGTTATTTCTCCCCATCCCTCACCATGCACCTCCACCCTCTTCATTTCAATTCCATACATTTAGGGTTGTTTGGGCTCGGGTGTGCTGCAACAATTTTACATCTTTGTTGACCATAGCCACCTGGGGCTCAATTTTACTGTACACCTTAGACATTCATTCATAACATCCTCATGACATTCATATATAGGAACTTGAGGTGGGCACATGGCTATGGGTGGTGGGATGACCTCACTCTCACCCCCTGTGCCTGTGCTCACTTACAACGGTTGCATTTAGACACTAGGGTTTGGATAGAGTTGGGGTGGAGGGGAAACTGGCACCATGCCAGCCTTTGCTCCTTCTTCTTTCCTTTTTAATGGCACTATACAACAACACACATCAACAGCACATCTAGGGGCGGGGGTGTATGTGTCGGGGTCTTATTTTTTTT